CGAAAAAACCAAAGGGAAATCTGCTGTTAGGAAGTGTCAAAGATTTCATAAAAATTTTATAGAAATTTGGATAGAAAAAGCACAGTAGCAAGATCAAATAGATGGTGCTATGCGGCTAGAATTCTGCAATGTATCTTTCGTCGTAGAGATGAAAACTTTGTGACGAAAGGTTTATGCAGCAATATAGGAACATTTTTTTTTTTTGGATTTTCGAATAAGGATAACTAAATTGCAGCAGTAGTAAGGTAGGAAACCGGAACCTGTTGCAATTCACGGGGAGATCAAAGGATGATCTGCGGTGGTGGAGATGACGGTGGAATTTAGCGACGATCTTTTAAGCAATTGTGGGAATTGCTTTGGACGGTTGTGGAGGGTTGATGGATGGCTGTGGAAGGGCAGCGAGACGCCAAGAACGCTGCTCTGATACCAGGTGATAGAACCCTTGCAGATTCTAAACTTGGGGTTGATCTCTTTAGGGGATCGACCTCCTTGGAACTCTATAGGGGTTCCTCCCTCCAAGTTGCTGCTCAAAGGCTGCAGAAAAGATTCATCTATTGCTTATGAAAAGAGAAGGAATACATGGCTATTTATAGGGCTTCTAAACCCTAACTCCTAATAGGACTCCTACTTAAGACTCTTACTTCTAACCAACTCATAGTATGACTCATAGTCAAGACTCCTATTCCCTTACAACTCCTAATTCTTCTCTAAAAAAATACCTCCTACTTGAATGCCCCTCTCAATTAGGACTCTCCTAGCTAGAGTCCTAATAGAATGTCCCTCTCAATTAGGACTCTCCTAGCTAGAGTCCTAATAGTTTTACATTAATGTCCCTCTCAATTAGGACTCTCCAAGCTAGAGTCCTAACAGAAGGCCCACGTGCAGCAGTGCGGTTCGTGCCAAGAACACGCCCGCGCACCCCGGCAACCCGCGGTCCCGCTCAGCCCCATCGATTGCGCGTGACCGTTCGCGCAGTAGGGTTTGGACCTGCTTGGACCTTTCCCACCGGCTCCGGGGCAACGGAAGTACATCATAGTGGGAGTGGATTATTTCACAAAGTGGGTCGAGGCCGAGCCGTTGGCGACAATCACGGAACAACAAATGGAGAAGTTCGTGTGGAGAAACCTAGTGACTCGATTCGGTTTGCCCAAAACCATTATTACGGATAACGGGCCTCAATTCACCGGTAGAAGGTTCCGGGAGTTCTGTGCCAGCCACGGCATCCAGCTAAGGTTCAGCTCGGTGGCCCACCCTCAGACGAACGTGCTGGCGGAGGTAACCAATCGGTCTATCTTGGACGGGCTCAAAAGAAGAGTGTCCGCGGCTCGATCGGCCTGGACGGACGAACTCCCTAGCGTCCTCTGGTCACTGCGCACCACTCCCAAGACCGCGACGGGAGAATCCCCGTACAGCCTGACGTTCGGAAATGAAGCTGTCCTGCCACCCGAAGTGGCTATCGCCACCCTTCGGACGAGGAAGCCTCGAACGAGGGACTTTGTGCCAGCCTCGACGTGTTCGAGGAGCGACGCGCCGATGCACACCTGAAGGCCCTCTCTTACAAGAGAGCCATCGCAAGGGTCTACAACAGAAAGGTACGACCCCGACCAATTAAGTTAGGCGACCTGGTCCTACGAAGGGACGAGGTCAGCGACCCGACCCGAGCAAGGGGGAAGCTGGCCCCCAAGTGGGAGGGACCTTATCGGGTCGTCGAGGTAGTCCGACCGGGTACCTACCGGCTCACGACAACGAACGGTTCTCCCTTACCGAGAACCTGGAATATCCGGAACCTTAAGAAGTTTTTTGTTTGAAATGAAGAAACCTTTTCGTTTGAAGAAGAAGAAGTTTTTTGTCCGAAGAGAAAGAAGTTCTTTGCCCGAGGAAGTTTTTTCGTCCGAGGGGGAAGAAGCTTTTTGCCTAGGAAATAAGAAGAAGGCAATAGACTAGAAAAGGAAAGGTTTTCCTTTACTTAAAAAGCAAGCCAACTTACAAGACTCGACTTACACAAAACCAACTAGCAAAACAAAATACAAGACCCTTCTTTATTGTTGGGGGACCTCCAGGCGGTCGTCGAAGGGGACTTCCTCGGGCATGTCTACCTCCAGGTCCTCGAGGTGAGGAGTGAAGGGGTCCTCCTCCACCTCAAGACCAGGGTGATGAGCACGGAAACGGGACGTGGCAATTCGGTATCCATATTCGAAGGACACCTGCCCCGTCCGCGTTAGCCCGAGTTCGAACCCCTCCGACCTCTTGTATGCCTCGAGGAGCTCCTTGTCTTTTGTGGGTCGAAGACGGGCCTCCTCCGCCAGTGCCTCCGAGGCCGTCCTTGCTTCAGCCTTCGCCTCCTCCAGCTTTTTGCTGAGGGCGCTCGCCTCCGTCTTCACCAGGCGGAGTTCGGTCCGCTCCACCCTCATTATTTTTTGGAGCTCCTCGTTCGCCTTCTTGGAGGCCTCAAGCTCCGACCGGAGGCGCGCCACCTCCACCTCAAAATCTGTCGTGCGCTTTTCGGTGGCCGCCACGGCCTCCGGGCCGGCCCCGGCACGAGCCTCCGCGACCTGGCGGTGGAGCTCGGCATTGCGGTTGACGAGGTCCCCAATAACCCGGCCGGCGTCGAGCACCCCGTCCATCAGGGCTGTCGCATAGTGGAGGCCCTGCATAAGGAGAAACGGGTCAAGAAGGTCGGCGTAGGACAGGCGAACTCGAAAAGCGGAGACATACTTACCTAGGTCAACGATTGGGCGGACTTGTTGAGCAGCACCTCCGAGGGCAGGACGTACAAGTCCCGAGCCATGTCAGGATGGAGCGCGCCTCGGAGGAATGCTGTGGAGGGATCCCCTCCGGCCCACACCCTATCCCCCCGGGACAAGCCGTCCCAGCGGGCGACCAAGGGCTCGCTGGACTCACCGAGCGGGATCTCGCTCGCCAGCCGCGTCAGGTACAGATCCCCGTCTCCGGCTGGGAGTCGGCATAGGTCGCGTATGGAGACAGGGCGCAGACCCTTCCCAGTCGTCCGCCGACTAGGTCCAGCCTCGCTGCGACGGAAGCCCGCCTCAGGCCCCCTCGACGGGGTTGTCTTCGCCTTCTTCGAAGGGCGCCCATCCTCGACCTCCAACGGGGCGTCCTCCGAGCCGGGTTGCGGGTCGACCGACGGAGCTGGGAGAGGGGATTGCGGGTCGACCGGCGGAGCTGGAAGAGGGGATTGCGACGCCTGACCCTCCAGGAGCGACCGAAGTTTCACCATTTCTGCAAGAGATGGAAGAAGTTAGTACCCGAAATCCACCACGCAAAACACCCGAACCAAACGTCATTAACGTACCCAGAGGCATCGGGCTAAGGCCCGCCTCGACCAGCCATTGTTTGGTCATGATCCGAATGACCTGCGACCTGGGGAGAATCTCTCTGAGCCTCCCTAGAGCTTGGCGCTCTGCTTCGCCCAAACAGGGGGTGGTGTTGTCGAT